TTTCGCGCGCTGCCCTGAAACCTCTCGGAACCGAGGCTGGGGAAAATGGGGGTCGCAGTCCAAAGCATCTGGAGCCGCAGAAACACGGGAAGGGAGCCGGGAAGGGCAGTTATTGGGGCGGGGGGAGAGCAAGAAGGGAAGAGGAGCTGGCCGGGGATGATGGGTTGCGCCAGAGCAAGCTGAAGGCCTGGGGGGATGTGGCCGGGGATGATGGCAGTTTGGAGGATCAGGAGTGCGAAATGAATACCGTTCCTAACTAAACGAGGTTGCACATCCCATAATTTCTCCTATATCCCTCACCCGCCTCACGCCGATCCAAGATGGAGGCCGGAGAGAAGAGAAACCACCGCCGCCTCACGCCGACGAGGGAAAGGAAAGACTGACGGAAGGGGCGGGATAACGACAAGCGCAGGCGCACTGCGGAAAGGGAGGGCGAAACGGTCTGGGCCGTTCCATTCGCTCTTTCCCTTCCCCTTGCGTGCCCTGCGCGTGACGTCACTGGCTCTCCACGGCCGGGCCTCCTTAACGTCATCCACGCGCGCCTCTGAGGCAAGATGGCGGCGTTTCCCTCAGCCCTCGCGAGGGTCGGGCTGAGGAAGGAGCTGCTGGTCCTGCGAGGGGGCGGGCGGCCAAGGCGGCCCTGGGAGGCGGCCTTTATGGTAGGGGCAGTGGCGGAGGGGAGATTATGGACCGTCGAGGGTAACACTGCGGGCTGGGATGGCGAGGTTGGCACAACCCCTTGGAGAGGTCTATGCATCGGAAACCCGGATAGCGGCAAAGAGGCACATGAAGCTAATTTCCGCTGCCATCTAGCGGCCGTCCGCATTTTTGCAGCTCAGATATGGTACCCCTGCTTGGGTGCTCGTTCTCTTGGTATGACGGCAGAAACACTGCAGGTTTATCTCCCCGCCAGACCAGTGCAACTGGGAAAGTCCTCTTAGGGGGAGGTTTGCAGCTTTTAAGAGGAGAAGTGGGCCCTGCATTTTGCCCCATAAATTTCTCTCCAGTTCCAAAATGCAAAAACGCATTTTTTGTCTCTCTAGTCTTTAGGAATCCTCATTGTGGGATGGGGCAATTGATTAAAGTTAGATTCTAAATGTTACACAGCCATTCTATTATGGCTTCTGCTAACACGTGTCTCCCATCCTCTCTTGCTGCCTGGGGCCCACCAGTGGTTTTGACTTTCACTTCCATCATGCTCAGCCACTTTCCTGCTTTTGCCTTGGGAGTTCTTGAATCCTGTCCTCCCAGCCTTCCAGTCACATGGGTTCCAGGCGAGCAGGCAAAACATAATTTTCTTCCCCAAGCTTTATTAAATTGGGTGCAGTAATTACAAATGAATTGTGTAGGGAAAAATTAATTCACTGCTATCTCATCTTTGTGTTTCAGAGACATGTCTCAGGTGAGCCCAAATCTGCAGACCTGAAGTACCCAGGAATTGTTGAATCTACTGAAGAATATAAATTTGTGGAGAGGCTGATACCACCTACCAAAGTACCTGTACCTCCAAAACACGACCAATATCCTACACCTTCTGGATGGAGGCCACCACAAGGTAAAATGGGGTAAAAATATTTCCAAATTTGATTTCCTTAATGTATAACATCTGAAAAAGTGTTCTAGCAAGTGCCCCCTGAAAGGAAAATTGAGCAAAGTTAGGACTTCTTGGTAGGGCAACTGCATTTATTATAAAATAAAATACACAGCTTCTTATAACTCAGTTCTTCCTGACTCATACCTCTTGCTATAACTTCACATTCTGCAACTGAAATACATTTCTTAAATTAAGGGTGTGTGTAAAATTAATAGTTGAGTAGGAGAGAGATAGATCTCTCCTGACCAGACTTTGATATAAATTACTTGTTATATAAAATAAGACAATATAGTTGTGCTTGTTTTATGTCTCCATTTCTTGTACAGATACACCTCCTGATCTTCCCTACTTTGTACGGCGGTCGCGCATGCACAATGTACCTGTGTACAAAGATTCTAGTCACCATGGGTCCAGGAAGATGACTATTATCAGGAAAATTGAAGGTGATATCTGGGTAGGTTATAGCTTTTTCTGCCAGGCTGGTACACGGGCTGTTGACAATGTGAGGTGATTTAGGTCCTTGAAATCACTCCTGAGTGGCCTCTCTGTTGGCTGATCCCAGATGGCTTCTTGGTTGATCAACAGCTTTTGGGAGATGAAGAGGCTGAAGCAATGCCTAGAGTGTCAGTGGAGAAAGACAAAAAGTGGATCTGACAGAGCATAGGTACATGCCCACATTTGGGCCTACTCTGTGGCAATTAGATTACTTCTCTCCTATCACTTCAGCGGGTTGTCTAGGGGCTGCTAGGGAAGAACCAACATCAAGAGCTTCCCCCCAGCTGCTATGATCAGTTAGCACATTTCACTGGCAAAGCCACCCAGATACTCTCAAGTCTTGCCTCCAGGTGAGCAAGGTCCAGGATGATGACAGGGGAGTTGTCTTGTGTGGTTACCTGGGAATTCTTTTGCCTGTGACCTTCGATGAAAGACACAAGGCTCTCTAGGGTGTCCTCTGCCACCTGCCAGCTGGATCTCTCCCACCTTGGCTCATCTATGCAGGTGGAGGGGGGTAACTTCCAGGATCCAGGAAACTGGTAATGCTTCACTGTGGGAGGGAATGCTGCCAATGGCCTTGAAGGAGGATGTGGTGCATCCCCTCCTTAAGAGGCCCTCCCTGGATTCAGTGGTGTTAGACAACTGCTGCCTTTGTGGGAAGCTGGAGAACACCTTCGAGGAGACGAATTATTGGGACCCTTTTCAGCCAGGATTCAGGCCTAGAGATGAAGCAGAAAGAGGAACAGCTTGTCACGTTGTGGATGATTTTTGTTGTGACCTGGATGGGGTCTTCCCCGGTCTTTTGAGATTGCTCAGCAGCCTTCAGTACCATTGATCATAGTATTCTCATGGACCACTTATGCAGATTGGGGGCATTCTGTTGAGTGGTCCCACTCCTTCCTAAGTGGGTGCTTCTAGTCAGTGCTGATGAGGGAGATCAGCCGAACATCTGCTCTCTTGTGGGGTGCCACAGGGGTCAGCCCTCTCCGTCCTCCAATTAAACATTATGTGAAGCCATTGGGAGACATCATCTGGTAGTTGGAAGTTTGGTATCCAACTTTAGATCACTACCCCTAGCCAGATTGGTGACACCGTTGAAGTCCTGGAGGCTGTGAGGGTCTGGATGGGATGGAACAAGCTGAAGTGGGACCCTGGCAAGACAGAGCTCCTGTTTGTCCAGTGGGTTTTTCTTGAGCGGTGGCATTACACCTGAAGGAGCAAGTCCATGACTTACAGCTCTTGCTAGAACAGCAGGTGGAGGCTGCAGCCAGCGGTATCTTTTGCCCAGGTTTGGCTAGTACGCCTGTTGCAGCTCTGCCTAGAGCAGGACCTTGCTACGGACACCCTCATCACCATCCACTTACACTAGTGCAGTACGCTCTATCTGGGGCTGCTTTCAGGATGGCTTGGAGGCTGCAGTTGGTTCTGAGTGCAGTGGCCTGTATGCTAATTGGCATTCACCAGTGAGAGCTTGTCACACCAATGCTGTGGGCCCAACATTAGATGCTAGTGGGGTTCCAGGTGCAATTTAAACTACTGATGGTAACCTATAAACCTACTTTTTCTTTCTCCAGGCCCTAGAGAATGACGTGAAGACCTTCATTACAGAATTGTCCGGACGAACACCAGCAACCCAAGTCAATGAAATTGCCTGTAGCATCCACGTCAAGGGCTATTTTGACCAAGAATTAAAGACATGGTTGATAGACAAGGGCTTTTAAACAAAGGATAGAAGATGAGTGGCAAAATCTGTCCCTTTGTGAAGACTCACTTTGGAACCTTGTTCTTACCCAAGTTTAAATGCCGCCGTTCTGGCTTAGTCCAGTTGTGCCCTTCCTAGTAAAAATTACTTACTAAATGCAAGTTATACATGCTTGAAAGAGTGGGTATTATGGACACTCCCATCTCCCTCGAGAGGGGTAAATAAAATATTTGATAAAGTGCCACCCCTTCCAGACGTTCTATTACAATTGTTCAAATACAATTATGCAATTTCCATTTTAAACCAGAAGATGGTTTGTTTGAATGTGGCATCTGTGAAAACTCTGGTTAACTTAGGTTTCCTGTCTCAGCAGACAGTGACACTTTTGTCTGGACTTGGAAGCTATGCAGGGTTAGGCCGAGCTGGATGGGAGACCATCAGAAAACCTGTAAAGTTAGAATGGGAAAACAGAATAGCCCATGTGATGATGGACAAACCACTTCTATATCCATGATTAACAAGGATCAAAGCTTGAGTCACAGGCATCTCTCTTCTAACTCACCTTTACGTGCTGTACAAGTCAACCTAGGGGCACAAAAACTACAGGAAGGGGGGAAATGATGGAATCTATCCAATCTAGGAGTTTAGTTGCTCCACCAGACAATTCATATAATGAACCGTCAGTTTTATCCTTTCAGCCATAGATATGAGCGAAGGGAGGCTGCAAGTCTTTAGCTGTATCTCCTCCTTGAATCAAGATGCTGAGACAGAAATCAGTATGAATTCAGGTCACAGCCCTTGTGCATTAACCGCAAAGGAAACAGTAAAGCTCAGATCCCAGTGACTCCACAGGCAACTCCACACGTTTCTTGTGGCAGGATAAGAAGTGCTTTGCCACTGCTGCTTTCTGGGATTTCCTGTAGGTCTCCCATCCAGGTATGCATCAGAGCTGACTGGCTCTTTGCGTCTAGCTGAGGTTGGCTGCGTGTTAACACCTGCTGAGACAGACCTTTTCTTAAGCAACATTACAAGTGTCTGCACTGAAGGGAAGAGAGGATGAGACATTACTAATTCCAGTTTATTTACAGCTGCAAAAAGTGAAAATGTACAGAGGGAAACCTTTTACAAAAGACATGCTGTTTCAGAGGCCTTGATTTAAAATGAAGTTAATTTTGCACCCGCTAAGAGGATGCTGCATCAGAACAGTCTGTAGTTGTGCATCTTCAGGAGTGTTTCCATTGAACTTTCCTTGGGCATTGAATCCTTTCAGCTCTGCCATGGAATGAATAAATCCTGTTTCCCCACAGTGAACTCTTGATCTCAGGTTTCGGAAATTTAGGAAAAAAATGGTTGGTAGGTCAGATCAATACAAAAAGGGCCAGTTTTTTCTAGGGATAGCAACAAGTTTCTCTACAGCTGTCAGAGAGGACCCTTTAGGTCACAGACATTTGCTTCTGCTGATAAGTTGAGCAAAAGCAGCTGCAGCCGCCCCCCAGTTCCACAGATGCTGTTGGTGTCTCCTGCCAATCATTTTTAGGTTTGTTGGTAATACTGATTGTAGTTCCACGTGTTCTGGTATCCATAATTACCATAATTCTGCACCAAAATAAAGTAGCAATGGAAAAAAAGCATTTACATTAAATGAAGAAATGCGGATTATTACAGAAATGTTGTTTTATCCTAAGCAGGTTGGGGAACTAGCATCTCTCCCACCGTCCCCCCAAACCAGGCTGGATTCACAACTCCAGCCACAGGTCCTCTGTCTTAAGCAGCATTTCATTCCATCCTTTTAACCAACTTAGTTGTAACAGATTTTAAGTTATTTCATGTTTATTTATGTATCTCAGAGAAGCTTTGCTCAATATGCAAAATATGTTTTAATGGGGCCAATCTTTTAAAAATGTAATTGGGCAATATAAAACAGCTGAATTACAGTATAGATAAACTTTTGTTAGTCCTGAACCTCAGAAAAGACAGTAATATCTCTAGTCACACAGACCAGAGGACTATTTAAAAACCAAATATTTATTCCAATTCTGTAGCCCAATTTGACCTCTATTGATCTGGACTGCGCAGACCATCTGGTTGGGTCACGCTTAAGAGCCAACCCTGTCTGTGTACTCAGGTCTTCCTCTCTCAGCAAATGCCCCCCTCCCCCGGATATGTCCTGGGACCGCAGGGGCTAACATACCAGCTGAGCCTTTGTGTTTTCTGGGAATTGTAGTCCCAAGACCACTGGGGGCAGATGGTTTACAATCTGATGCCAGCTGCCTTTGGCAACTCACCTGGTACCACGTGTTATAGTTGTAAGCCCCCGATGTGCTGGTGCTCACGTCTGTTGCCATCAAGGGCGTGATGCCCGTCGTTGCCATGGCCAGGGCACCACCCCCCACGGCTGCATCTTCAAGTCTCAATCTTTTCTCATCGGCTTCATCAGCACTGCTTGGGAATTTAAAAAGTGTCATTGTCAGCTGACATCCCAGTTCAAAGTGCCCACCTTTGGCTCTGTTATTACACTAGGCTGCTTGTGGTGACTGCAGCTTCCCTAGGAAGGAGAAGCAGACAGGCTTTGTGGCGGGGCCTGCCCTATGGAACAGCTTCCCCCTGAGGTTTGGATAGCTCTGACCCACTGGCCTTTTGGAAGGCTGAAAAAACGGGCTCTTCCCTCAGGTTTTAGGATGCTACTGGAACCCAGTTTGTGGTTTTGCCCTGTGCTGATTGCCAAGTCGGTTGGTTTGTTCAATTCGTACACTGCCCGACTCCCGACGACTCTGGGCAGTTCACAAGAAAACATAAAACTTTATACACTTTTTTAAACTTTGTTTTTTTATAGTTTTTAATGTTTTTAATAATAGTAATAGTAATTTGAGGTATTTATTGTTTTAAAAATCAATGCAGTGCAGTTTACCATCAAAAGCTAAACTGTCTCCAAAATAAATGTAATCTTAGAAAGGTATCTTCATTAAATCAGTTTATATAATTTTGGTTTATGAAATAATTTACAGTAAGCAAGGGTCCACACCTCACAGCAAGCCATGATTTGCTTGATTATGGTTGGGCTGGGTTTAGATAAAGACAGCACCTAAGCTGAACTGCATGACGGCTTGATGCAGTGTGCAAACTGAGTCTTGGCAAGGTGATCTGTTTGTTCCCCCCTCCAAATGCAAATGCAGCTAGAGAGGCAAACAAGGATAGAACTGCAGAATTGGAGGCCTTCTCACCCATTTTCCAGGAGCCTCTTCCTCATCATTTGCTGGTTCAGGAGTTTCTGATGCTCTTCGTAGCACATCAGCAGACTGGAAAGACAGAAGGGGGTGAACATTGGGGGCTGAAGGTCCTTCGGCCTGGGCCTCAGAGGCTGAAGAGAATGTGTTTAGTGCTCCCCTCCCATTACCTGTTTATGCTCGATCCAAAATCTTCAAGAAACTCTACTCTGCGCTGGGAGAAGATGATCTTGGTCTCCAGGGGAAGCCCGCTGGTCAGGGCTCGGTCGAAACTGCTCATGGTGTTGCCCTCATTCTGCCGGACATCGGCGCTGAACTCCATCTCCAAAAGGTTCGCGTAGAGCTTGGCATTGTCCTGCCACCCAAGTGAACCCAGCCAAGGTGTTTTAGGGGGAGGCAAGAAAAAGAGAATTCAGAAAAGGGAAGGGGAAGACCAGAGCAAATTGTCTACACTGAACAAAAACAGATCTTCCGTTTGTTTTATTCTTGTTCCTTTTGTTTGTTTTTAGGTATTATAACCTAACAACTAATCAACTTGTCAGGCAAATTATGTGTATAATTTGTTTCGGTACATTGTTTCCTTTTGTAAAATTGCAAATAACATAAAAAAAATAAACACAACTGTTTTGTTTTATGTTCAAGAGAACATACAGATTAATGATAGCCTATCTTTTTTTTTTTAACCTTCTTTGTATGATGTTACTCCTCCTCAAACCTCAAACTAATGATAGGATTGTGAACAAAACCCAGTATAAATGAAGATTCCTATTTACCTACATCCACACTGCTAGCTCCTTTTCAATAAATAATTTCTTAGCATCTTCTACATCACTCTTTTGAGCTGTTTTGTAGTTCTGCCCTCTACCCTCCCACTTCCATCCCAACTGAAGGGAAAATTCAGTCAGATGCCAGCATCTTTGCTTCTAATTGGAAGACAGTGTGAAAATTACCACTCAAAAAGGGACACTTCATTTTTTACTCTGGAGTGCCCACCTTGATTCAAGCAACCCAAAACTTTCTATGTGACTAAGGAGCTGAGACATCTGCTGGTTAAGCTATCAGGAATTTAAAAAAAAAAAAAATCCCTCAGTTCACCAGTACTAGTTCAGACTCCCCACCAAAAGAAGAAGAAAAAGGAACTTTTGCATCCAACAACTGCAGAAACAGCTTGGAAGCACCTCTGTACTTCCAGGCTGGAGGTGAACAGTGGAGTGGGAAGGAGGGGTAAGAGGTACCCCCCAACAGGCATGCAAGCTGCATTCACTAAGAATCCTATAAGGTGCCCCCCTGCCCCCAGTGCCCTTGTAATAAAACATTCACAGGAAGCTGAATTACTCTGAGCTAGGCAACGGGGGGAGGAATCTGACAGGAACCAGTGGCCCAGTTCACCAAATGGTTTATATTTGCTGACCATAGCGTAGCTGCCAAGCTGACCAAGTAGGAAGGGATAAATAGAGGCCACCCAGACAGGCTTTATCAAAAACATCCCGTCGTCATGTTGCAATTTACTGTGTGGCTGCCTTTTCCTTTGTCCTGTCTCTGCAATGTAGCAGGCCAAAGGTATGTAAGCCCTTTGCTCAGGGCTGCTCAGCGGGCTGGCAATGCTTTACTGGGAGCCCGGCGTACACTGTAGTTGCTTACAGGCTTACTCAGTGCATGTTGTATCTTTGGTGCAATTTGGTTGCTTCAGGTGAGCACCTGAGATGCTGAAATGTCATTCAGCTGTCACCAAGAACGTGAACTAGTGACTTTGGGAGACTACAGATGTACGAATGAAGCACCAACAGAAGGCAAACGCTGTCCTTTTCCAAGGGACCTCCATTTTTCTCCCTTCTGGCAGCTCGCCCAAGCCTTTACATCAGTGCTTCTCAACCTTAGCAACTTGAAGATGGGTGGACTTCAACTCCCAGAATGCTGGCTGGAGGATTCTGGGAGTTGAAGTCCACCCATCTTCAAGTTGCTAAGGTTGAGAAGCACTGCTCTACATGCACCTCAATGGGCCATGGTTTTTACCGGGTCCTTCTCCAACGCTTCCAGGAGGATCTTCCGTGCTTTGATGAGATTTTTCTGCACTTTTAGAACCTGCCGAGCCAGCTTGACTGAATAGAACGAAGAGATAGGCATCCCCTCGTTGTCCCGTATGGCTTCCACCAGGAGCGCTTCCGCCATCTCCATATTCCCCAGCCGACGTTCCAGGCTCACCCGCCGCAAACGCACCATAACCAGGCCAGGCACACAGTCCTCAAAAGTCTTCAAGATGCGCCGTGCTTCTTCCACTTCTCCTGTGGGAACAGATGGAGGAATAGCACCTTCAGTAGAACCATCAGTGGTTCAGGGCCTCAGATGTTATCTAGTTGGACGGTCCTGGATAATAATGCCTTTGAGTTCAGCAAGTCTGATGGAGAAGCAATAAGCCCACTTAATGTTTCTTCCCATTATCCTGTCTTTTCTTTGCCAAGGAGGCAGTCAGGATTAAAGGGGTTTAGACTATTCTTTCTGAACCAAATTCTAAACTTTCGTCAATGACTTATGTCCAGCAATGTCTAAGCTGACTCAGTTAATATTAGACACATCCTTTTCTCTCTCCCCCCAGATGCTAGAAGTGACAAACTGGTAAGGAAGAGGTGTGTGCATGCACGTTGTTATCGGCACATGTATGATGGGGAATAGGTGGTGTTCACACAATACTGAAATTCTATCCCCACCAACTCCAGGAAAGGTAGACAACAATGAAAAATATTGGGAGCTGAAGTTCAGCAAAATCAGGAGTGCCCCAGATGCTACACTGAGCATCTCAAAGCCTGCAGCTGGACCAGATGCAACCTTTTCTTTTCAGGAACACTTGGATCCCTCTGATGCAGTAACCTCTGCAAATCAACATTCATGCAGATGCTTCAGGTTTTTTTGGTTTGGTAGAAAAATTTAGTAGGTGAAGGATCCCATGAAGGTTTTTGCATGCTGCTGTAAACCGACCGATCGATAGTCAGTAAAGAGATTTTACCAATGTCGTAGGCATGTTGAGGGAGTTTTCAGAGCAGACTGCAGATCAGCTGTTCCTCACCTTGTTTCTCCTCAAATGCTGCCCACAAGAGGTGAATGTTGGGCTTACGAGGGAGATGGTAACAGCAAGCTCGCTGGAAAACGCTTCTGGCTCCAGTTATGCTGTGGTTCTCAAGGTATCTTATGTACTAAAATAGGAGAAAAGGGGGAACAATAGGGGAGAAAATCAGAAAAAGTGATTTTATAGCTGCAAAGACAAAGATGGATGTTTCACAGGGCAACCTCTGGTAGACAGAGTGAGCCATTTAGAGAGGGAGGCTTAGCCCACCTTGATCCAGAACTCCTCGTAGAGGGCGCAAGCGATGACGCAGCGCTCAAACAGCACGATGGTGCGTTCGTGTGAACCGCTGGCGATCTCAAAGTCCAGGTAGTCCCGCCAGTTCCGCAGCTGTGCTCGCTCCAGTGGTTTAACATGGAAATAGGGCCTTTTGATCTACAGGGAAATGGGACAATGCAATGGTAAGGGAAGGAGCTTCACAGAGAAGCAAGGAGGAACCAGCATAGCTCAGTGATTAAAGTACTGGACATGGATGGAGGAGGCCTGAATTGTGAGCAGAGGTCACTTAGTGACTCGAACACTGCCTAGAGCTTGTGCAGGAAAAGTAGAGTGTAAATGAGAGATGAAGAGCACAAGCTGGTTGCCACGCCCCACCTGATCGATCCACTGCAAAGAAGCGGGGCAGACCTGCATCAAGGCAGGTCTTGATACTTCAGCCATTTCCATCGCCCAGGGCCGCTCACGAGAGACGGCGGCACCAGAGGTTTTGGTGCCTCTCCTCTGGGCAAAATCCCTCATGATGGGCCAAGGTCCCCATAGACCTATTTGCTGATGGGAAGCAGGCAAAGTGCTAATGGAAAGGACCCCCTAAATCCCATCTGGCACCCTGTCTGGCTCTTAAGGTTCGACAGGCACTGCCGGCAGAGACTCAAGCTTACTTCCCACCCATCTGGTTCTGTCATACACACCCCTTCCTCGAAATTCCAGCGTTTGCTGACTTCGGCTTCGTTCTGACTGAAGATCTGCTGGCGGATCGAAATGGCCAGCTCCTGGGCTTTATCCTGGTCCAGTGTCCCCTGAAATAAGGAGGTGAAATCAGTGCTATCAAGAAAGGGAATACTTATGAAAAGAAGTGGTGAACTGGCCCTGGAATCACATCTAAGCAACTTCCCATTGGCATTTCTATTTTAGCTCTTAACTCTGATTTCCTTTTAACTCTTAACCCGTAAGACCTGGTTAAGAAACCTTATTGGCAGCATTCAGACAACATGCTACACCCAAAGGTATAAACCCTATTCAGGCTTCATAAGATAAGGAACTGTCCACCTAGTACTCTGAACTACGAAGGGGCAACACCATTTAAGTCCATGAGCACCGAGGGTCAATCCAGGCGATTGGTGGGACAATGTCCATACTCCCTCCCACACAGCTCCCAACCCCCTGGAGTGCTTTCCACAATGTGATGCCCTTCGTCCTCAGCTGAGAGAAGGCCAAGCCAAGGTGGGTGTCTTCCTGGTTAAAGCACAAGGCACTTTGAAAGAAAAGAATCCAACTGCTATCATCTTAGTTCTAGCATGAATTAGTCAGCGGGCAAGGAGAGGGCTAGCAATTCTGCCAGCCCAATAATTATATGGGGGCAGGAAAGTGCAGACAAATCTTGGCCACAGATGTAAGGAAGCAAAGGTTTTCGTGGCCTTTCCTTCGGCCAAGGTTTTTTTCTTCTTCTGGCCAAAGCCAGGAAGAACCTGTGGGATGACAAATCAGCAGAAAACCAGCAGGCCACACACACCAGAATGAAGCAGAGGAGCCCCACAGGAAAGTGTACCTGTGGGAGCTGAGGGATCCAGCCATCACCTCTGGCCAGCTCTGACAGAATTAATATATTCCTTTCCCCACTTTAAAGTGTGTCACTGCTCCCAAGGAACCAAAATGGGAAAAAAACAAACAGGTATTTTTAAAAGAGGCGGAGACAAGGGTTCACACAACCCATCTACGAACAAGCAAAGCCACATCCATCAGCTATATTTTCGGGGCAGACGGTACAAAAAGACTGAAGCACGATGAAACGTGCCAATACCTGAGCACTACGGACTGCATCCAGTTCTGGACTTGGAGATGTTGCTGCCACCACCCGCCCCGCTAAGCTTTTGGCTATGGGTTGGTTCAGGGAAGACAAAGACCGGGACACTGCAAAAGGAGGACAAGGAGTGCGCAGCCAAGAAAGGGACCCACCAACATCTGACTCCCGTCTGTCGTCTCCTGCTTGGTTTCCGCCTTCGGTGGCAGATCTTCTCCAGGCGGCGCTTCCTCGGCTTCCATTTCTGCCGTCTTGGCGACTGTCTCTGAGGCCATCTTGGACTGCACCCACAGCAGCTCTTCCATGGAGAGGATCTCTCCAGGGGGATGGCTGGTCAGGTGTTCCTTGAAGCTGCGTTAAGAGGAAAGGAGGGCTATCTGCAAAGCAGCTAATTCTGGGGGTGGCTTTCCCAGCGCTTCTGCCAAAGGCAGGGTTGGAGAAGGCCCCTGCAGAACCTGTTGGAGGCAGGGAAGCATCCCAGCTGTGGCACTTACTTTTCCCAGTGGTGGCTGTAAAGCTGGGTGGGAGTGGACAGCACCCGGTCATAAATGGCTGTGACGGCCTTCAGGTCCCCCTGCTCCTTCTGCCATTCCACATACATCTCCCACAGCTTGTCCGAACGGAAATCTACTCCTGCAGCAGCCACAGCTGACTCAAAGGTGCTGCACAGAATACAAAGACTATTAACAGCTCCAAAAGACCTGCAGTGGAACATTGCGGGGTTTGCTCACACCATAGCTGGGAGTTTCTCGGTCAGGATTTGAGGAAGCCCGGTCTTTTTCCAGCACAGGCTATTCCATCCTGTCACTCTTCTTTAAGCACAGGGAATCCCCAGGTTAAGAACGCCCAGTTTATGGACGAGCCATGGTTAAGAACGGAGCCTACTGTAGCAAAATTCGAGTAAAATACCCAGTGGTTCAAGTTAAATACACAATGGTTCGAGTTCATTACACAATGCTATTTATACAGTATTATAGAATAATATTGTTCCGGCTTACAAACAAATTCTACTTAAGGACAGACCTTGGGAACAGACTTCGTTCTTAAACTGGGGACTACCTATACTAAATATCTCCAGTCTTTAAGAGCTGGTTGTGCCTCCCTGTGTACTGAAGGGGGTTTATATTTTTGGCCCTCTTAGCCTGGGAGTTTTTTAAAGATTTTTTTGTTATGCTATGCAAAGCTCAAGCTTTGCCACCTAGAGTTTTGTAAGACAGATGGACAGCCTTACCAATTTGATGAGTAAATAATAAGTAAACAATTCCCTGGAGTCTGTGGATCCTTTCCCTCCTGCTTTTCAGGAGCTCAATTTTGCTACACCGTTGCTGCCCCAGACTTATTTCTGATGTATAGAACACGGGAGATAAGCAACTGCAATTCCTGTGGAATTTGAAACGCCTTCCTTTGCTCTACTGGGTCAACTTCCCCTGATCCTTGCCTCTTACGACATGCAGGGCTATATATACATTTCTACCGCTGTGCGTAAGGCCAGCAAGCACAATGTCTAATTGTCAAGAGTCATCCAGGTGGGGAGGATGGGGTTATCTTGGGAGTCTATGATGTGTCTTCCATAACCTGGTGCCCCAACTTCCGTGATAGGTGGATAATCTCAACATATCTGGGGGTGCTCAGCTGGGGAGGGTGCATTAAAATAACTGGCCTCAGGACTGGGCAGGTTTGGCACACAACAGAGTGGGGAGGGGATCACTGTCCCCTCTAGAGCTCCAGTGTATTTTTGGCAGGATGGAGTTTGTGTTTGTTTTCCTGTTCTGTTGGCTAAAACAGCAAGAGAAGAGAGTCTTGGCAACCCACATTTAGCTTAGTTACCTACAGAAGCAAAGACTGAAGCTGTGTTTTAAAAACAAGTCTTCATGTCTTCACCTAGTTGACCATACCTGGATGTGGAAGCTAAGCAGTGTTGGACCTGGTTAGTTTCTGGATGGGAGACCACTTGAGAATCTCAGAGCTGGAAGTCTGAGTGGGAACGTGCATGAAGTTAACAGCAAGTGGGCTCACCTCAAAACATACTTTATTTTTTACTTCACATTTTCATGTATTCAAAGCAGCAGCAATATCAAACAGGGTTGAAGGGCAGAACTGACTTTTGGAGAAAAAAGAGGACAAGATGGGAGGATTCAGTGCCCTGGGCAACTCTTTGCCTCTCCATCAGCACCTCCACGTTTCAGCTGCCACTCAAAGCTCTCCCGTGACCTACCCACAAATTTTCTGAGCTGAATCGGGATGGTTCATATCCAGGGTGGACTGCAGGAAAGTGATGTAATGGATCCAGAGGTCCATGCTGAGTGGGATAGACTGTAAACCTCGCTGGAAAACCTGCAGGGCCGCAGAGAAAATAAACCTTTAGTGTTTTCCCCCCACTTGTGCAAAGAGCAGTTCCTGAGACTTAAAGTTTTTTCACGCTAACCTTTCAGATCCCCACATTTGCTCTAACACAGCAGGGGCCAATGGGAGAAGATAACCAGAGGCTGTTGACAGAGCGGGTGATACCAAATTAACAAAAAATCTGCAAGCTTCTGAGTTCTCCAGAACTCTTCTTCAGGTTGATGTTATAAAAGAAGCAGTGGACCGGGTGCGGTGAGCATCCACAAGGGAAAAAAAGAAATGTTATTTTCCCCAGCTTTGGAATTCTCTCTGTCCACAAGATCCTGTTCTATCACCCACAATGGCCATGCCCACGGGCACCTTGGCTTCGTTACCATGGTTGTAGATGGTACATTGAGAAGTTTCATTTCACATTCAAACCTGCTGTTGCATATGCTGCTTAGAAAGCATCCACGTATCTACGGGTGCTCTAAAATAAGGTCAGCTCTTCTCGTTTGCTCTCCCCAGACTGGAACTGGCTTGTCTCATTCAGTCGGTGCCACTGGTTCTAATGCGTGGCGCGCTGCAGCCTGCGCTTGGCGGGTCAAGACAGGGGTGCACCTGCACGTACTAATGCCCACAATCTCCACTGTTACTGGGTACCTCCTCAGTCTCCTTGATGAAGTCAAAGCGTCGTTCCATGTCTGCGTACTTCTTCCAATAGCCATAGCAGTAAGGGTACCTCAGGAAGAAGTTATCAAAAGCTTTGCGGGCGGCGTAGATGTGATTCTGCAAGAGCGGTCAAGAGAAAAGCTTGGATGTTTCTGAGAGAAACACAGGGAAATACGAAACACTGCAGAAAAACTGCAAAACTGCAAAGAAAGTACAAGAAGCTAAGATGGAACAGAAGCCAAAATGTGGTCTCTTTGATTTTGGCTCACGGTGTCATGCAAGCCAGTTGTGGTTTATTCAATAAACCTGAATTAAGCAAACTGTGGCTTAGCATTACAGATAGTCCTCATTTAACAACACTAATTGGGACCGGAAATTCCATTGTTAAGTGACACGGTTGTAAGCCGAAAAACCATGTGACCCTGCCACTTAGCAACAGAGTCCCAGCTGCCGTCATTAAGTAAGGACCTCACGTGATCATAACTTTCAACTTCCTGCTGGCTTCCCCACTGACTTTGCTTGTGGGAGCTGGCAGGGAAGGTCCCAAATCATGATCACGTGACCGCAGGGATGCTGAGACTGCCGTAAGTACGAGGTCCACTTGTAACTCCCACTTGTTCACCGTCATCATAAGTTTGAATGGTCACTGAACCAGTGGTCATTAAACAAGGACCACCTGTATGTGTGATTCCTGTCTGAATTCTCATGAGAATCTACTCACTTAAGAAAAACACCACAGGAAGATATGATCATCCTTTTATTGAGGTAAGACATTGTTGTCTGTTCCACCCACCAATTTCTTCCTCAACCCATTTATTTGACGATTCAGGGATCTACAGGCAAAGCAGATGTCCTGCCACTGACCTTTACCCCCTGAAGCTCTTCTGATGCCGAATAAAGGGTAGGGGTAAAAAGAAACAATACAAGTGCTAGCCCAAAGTATTAACTAGATTTAGATATAAAGGAACTCCCATCTGAGTTCACAAATTATACTTCTGTAAGTCACTAGTTAACAGTCACCGGCTGTGGCCTGCACATCATCCTAAGCCATAGATCCAGCCAGGGATGTCCCACATGCCATGCCAAAACCAAGCAACTCATCCTATTGCTTAGTGCGGTGCGTGAAGCAGGCCACTGTTGAGGGTTGATAACTCTTCCCTTTTGTTTTTTTGTTAAAACAAAAGATGTACCTTACTTTGCTTGGTTTCCTCATGCAAATGTTACCGGACAATCTCTCTTAACCCCAATGACATGCATCATTCTACCTCCAGGTGAACCCCACAATAAAAAGCAAGACCTGGTACTGGCCCCAGAACAATTATCCTCCTGCTCCCCCAATTATTTTCCGTTTTAAGCTCAAAAAGGACCTTTTAACTCAGAGAGTTTGGAAATATTTGTAAACTATACCTTGTTATAAATCAAAATTACATTCCCTTTTAAAAATGTAATTGAAAAGATGATTTGCTTTAATAGAACCCCCAAGAACTGAACCCTTTAAAAAGTAAACTGTGGTGAAATTTGATCCTCGGTGATACCAATAAACAATAATCCTCTGCAGGATATGCTTGTTTTTGAATGTCAGCAGGGAAGGTGAGAGTTCTGTCCTGCTTCAATGCCCATGAAAGGACTCTTAGAGCAGGAGAATCAACACATTAGGCTTTGCGACACTTTTGCAGAACTGCAGTGAATGAATGAATGAATAAGCCAATCTTGAAATGAAAAGACTTTCAAACACAGCTTCCTAAAAAACGGGAGGGGGCACTGCAGAAGACAGCGGAGAGGCCAAAAGGTAGTTTGCTGCTGCCAAGAAGAATCTAGTCCAGATCACTATCCGCTAAGCATTACACCAAGTTTTGAATCTGCAGCTGATCATTCTCACTGCCAATATCAGCAGCTCCTCAATAAAGCCATCACATTTTGACCTAGTGTGGTCCTCAACGAAGCCAAGCCAGGGTTAGCTTTCACCATGGTTGACTGAATAAACTAACAATGGCTGGGTTGATGCAACTCGCTAAACCCCAACAATCAATCCATAGCTTAGGACAGTGTTTCTTCATACCTCCTGTTCCACATATTGTAACAATTCAGTCCACGCAGTAAAGTCGAGGGGGTTCTCTTGAGTGGCCCTCCAGTACCGTTCAAACTCCAGAGGGTAGGTGATGGAAAGATCTTCCATGGGCTGGCTCAAGGCCATCATCATCCCCACATCTGGAGCAGGAGGCTGAGGGACTTCCTCTCTGGCTGGCTCAGCCTGTAGAGCTGCAGTGCTGTCTTCCAGACTAACCCCATTGCACCCTTGCACTGGCATGGCCTCGTCTGGCTTCGGAGTGCCATCACTCCCGGGATTCGGAAGGACTTCTTGGTCAACACCTGCAGATTCGGGAGGAAATGAGAAGTTTCCCCATATTCACTTTCATTTACTTGCCTGTTAGGTCTGCATCCTGGATTCTCTCCTGCGCTGAGGATATAATTTCTGTATCTGATGATCAATATTTGCAAAGATGAGTGAAGGCCCCTTGGATCACATGGGTCTGCTGCTTCTTTCCCATTCCTGTCCGGCTTCTATCATCTCTCCTATCTTTTATTCTTTATTTTTGCTTCTTATTGGATTTTTCAACATGTTTTTACTCGTGAGCTGCCCAGCGTCGTTGGGAGACGGGCAGCATACACGTTTAATCAATAAACAAGCCAATAAATCAGAAGGAGGACGTAACACCTTTTCTGACCAACACATCTCATTAAAAGGCATAATGTTACAGCTCACAAAAGCTTCTGCCTTTTAACAAAATCCTCCAGTCAGAAAAGGCGCTCCAGGCGCCTCCTGATGTTTTGCTACCGTAAACCTAAGGCAGCTCTCCTCCTACACTATCCCCGTAAGTACATTTAATGCCACACAATAACATAAGGCAGTGTTTCTCAACCTTGGCCACTTGAAGATGGGTGGACTCCAACTCCCAGAATTCCCCAGCCAGCATGGCTG